AAAAGAATAATGTGAGTCTTGTAGTGAAAGAGATACATGTGAGATCTATGAAAAATAAATTGTTGATACAAAACTTATACTTGAAAATGAGGAAAATATTGTCTATTTTATCTTAATTAATGATAGCTCTCTTTTATTTTTTGAAACCTATCTAAATATTTTTTAGTATGGATATATATAAAATACAAGCCTTATTTTTATTTTTAAGATTTTTTTCATCTACATAACTATTAGTTGACAGTTAAGTCACGTGTGTTAGACTAAAATATCCCTATTTAAATATAAATGTTGTCCAAAAATCATTTAAATCACTCAAAAATTAAATTTTATTATTTAAATGTATTTATTTTGTAACTATTTTAAAAAATGAATATATAAATTGGCCAAAAAAGATATTCAAAGATGCAATGTATGCACTCAATAAAGAAAAAAATAGAATAAAATAATTTTTAATAATTTAAGATAGTTAAACTAGCCTAAATAAAGACGAAGACAAAAACTGTTAAGAGTCAAACTTAACTATACTTTTTTATATGTTTAGATATTTTAAATTCGATATAAATTGAGGCTTTAAGGATAATTGAATAGGTAATATTTTAATAAATTTTATTTTTAAAAAATTGAAGTAGTGTGATTTAAAAAAGTGGTGTGCAGGACCCACCATTAAAAAATATGAGTGGGATTTATATTTATAAATTTTAAAAATTTAAAGGAGGTGTAAAAATAATAAAATTTTTATATTTTGAGAGATTGTGTAGGATTTTATACTAAAAATTGATGGTGATTATAAGATTTTTAGTAAAATAATAACTGTTAGATATACAAAAAAAATTTTATATTCCCTCCATTTAAAAATGTAGGCATTTTTTAAAAATTACATGATAAAAAATTTAAGGTATTTTTGATATTTTAAGATACAATCATTTTTTTTAAACGTACCCTTATTGAATAAATCACTTTATATTTATTTTAAAGTGAAACACCCTATTAAATATGGATAAATATAAAAAAATAAAATTAATTTGAAGACAAGTAACCACTTTTATTGAGGGTGAGATTCAGTTAAAAATATTTTATATTTTTTAATGGAGGGAGTATTTATTATTAACACAAGGTCACAAGTTAAAATAGTTTGTGTAAGCACATATAGAACAAGTTTTTGTTTATATTCTTCAAATGCATGAAGAATAAAAATCTATTATTCTATTATTTATATGTAAAAGTTGATTATGATTTGAACACTTATAAAAAATATTAATGTAATTATGTGCCTTAAGTTTGAGCAACAAAAAGTATAAGCTACAAATTAATTATATAATATTAATAAATTTATCTTCAATTACACACCTAATTTTTTCTTAATAATCATTGTATTACTTGCAATACTTATATGTATGATTGATAAATGATAGCAAAATATGGATTATATTATTTGTTTGATTTAGAACCATTATAATTATGATTTATAAAAAATATTATCACATAAATTGTAATACGACTCATTATAGTTTATATTTTATTTTTCTTAAATTATAGAGTAAAATACGCTAACATTCTTTTTATTTTGTTAGAATTATAAAGACTTCTTCTTTATTTTTAAAACTTACACTTTAGTATCATTAATTAAGATTACAAATATCACTCATTCCATTAAGTTTTTTTTCCCTATAGATACATGTTTAAATATTATTTTAGTAAACTTACTCCTTTTATTACTTAAAAATTGAATGTTAAAAAACATAAAGTATCTTTAATATTTTAAAATATAATCATTGACTTTTTTTTTCAAAAATATCCATAATAAATAAATTATTTTATATTTATTTTAGAGTAAAATACCCAATTAAATAATAAATATAAAAAGATAGTATTATTTTAAAGATAAGTAGTTACTTTACTAAGGATAAAATTTAATTAAAAATATCTTACATTTTTAAAAGATTGAGTATATATTTAATCTTTTCTAAAAAATACTAAATAAATTAGTTTGTATAAATTTAAAATATAAATAAAAATTTAAAAGAATAAATCAAGAATAGTAATTGTCAATTAATGATTAGATGGGTGAAAATAAAAATTTAAAAGTGGAAGACATATTCATATTTTGCAACTTTTAACTATTGATTTCATATAAATTTTAAAAATAAAAAATATTTATAATTAAGATAAAATAAAGAAAAATATTATATTTTATTTTAAGGATATTAAAATAATTTTTTACTATTTACATTTATTTTTATTGTCAAAAGCTAAAATATGCACGGGGCATAGATCCAGCTATATAAAAAGTTCAACTTGCAAAATACAAATCCAAAGAGCTAAACGTAAATATAATAAAGTCCGAATTAATGATTCAACCGAACCCAAAAGTTTTACAACATGATAATGGAAAATGAAATTCTAATAACCTTTCTTAATCTTCTTCATCGTCCAAAAACAAGATACTAGAGTGTTGAACATAAAAATTAGTAAATACAAATTTAACATGTAAATTATAATATTTAGGTTCCGTTTGGTTGCTAGCAATGAAGGGAATGAAATTGATTACAAAAATAAAGATAAAAATAAAATAATTAAAATGTGAAGGAAAATAAGTAAATTATATTTATAAAAAATTGATAATTTAGTTCGTAAAATTAAAAATAATGACTCATGAGATTTTTAGAGTAATGATAGTTCCCACATTTATAATATATAATATTAAATTTTAGCATATTTATCATAAAAAATAAGAATAATTTATTTTATTTTAATTTTAATTTTTCAATTTATTTCATTCTCATCCTTTTATAGCAATCAAACAGGATCCTAAAGTCCAAAATGTAATTCTCTAAAGGATAATTAAATGTACATCTCAATGTATTCTAAAATTTCATAATTTAAATTTAAATTATTGTTATCAAATAGTAAAAAATTAAAGAAAATATAATTGCATAAATAAATAAACTTATATTTTTTTAAAGAGCATCAAACTTACATTATAAATATAAACTAAAATAAAATTTAATGACATTATTTCAAATTTACAAAATATTAAAAAAAATGTGCTGGCCTAGGCCTTTGCGGCAAAGCCTTAATAACACAATGAAAAATATAAATCAAGAACTGTTAAAAAAAATTTATATCAATTAAAGATTATTTATTGTTAAAATTTAAATGAATATTTATTAATTCAGGTTAGTCTTTTATTAGTAAGTATTCATTTAGGTTTTAATAATACCTTATTTTAAATTAACAACAGTCGATTCAAGCTTTTTTTTATTTAAATCTTGACAACAATTAATTTTTTACTGATATAAATCTCGTCCAATGGTCCTTCATCACTATTTTTCCATGATACAAAATAAAAGTGTTAACTCTATATTTTCAACTCTAATCAATTAATCTAATTCCAGCAAAAACTAGTTCATACAAATTAGTTGTTATAAATGAAGTCCTTTACAAGTTCTCAATATGACGTTACTCTTTTAAATTTTAAAATATAATTGAATCTCAATTTAACAAATCATATAGATTGTAAATCATATTAATGATTTGATATTTACATGTAATTAAATGAGAATAAGTCAATGTATTTTTTAATATTGCTTTTTTTTTTTTATATTTTCCCTCCCAAGTCGGCAAAGGATCTTCTTTTATTTTCATTTCTTATGACTTGGCATGTAGCTATAGATGTGTAAGCTTCTTTTTTTTTTAATGCCAAAATAAAAATTTTTTTTGATTAATTTACATGATTATTAATCCAATATTTTATCATTCATACCAAGCGTTATCTCATAATCAAACAATAAAGATTACTCATTTATTTTCATGAAACTTAAAAATAATTAAATTGACAAAAGTTAAATTTATACCATGTTTGGTATGGGAAATTGTTTTTGGTAAAAGTAAAAATTAAATAGAAGTGAAAGTAAAGTTTAACAGTATATTTATTTGGTATTACATTTATATTTTGAAAAAAAAACTAAAATACTCATAAATTTTTTTCAAAAAAAAAAAAGCACCAGCAACTGTGGCCACCACGATTCACTAAATCTCAAACTTCCGACCTCCGCTACCTCAACCTCTATCCACACACACGTTTCCTCGACAACCCACCCTTGATCCCAAACAGAAGAATCAAACTATATGTTGTTTGAATCAAAAAATAATCACCAAACAACCACCATTGAAAATTGAAAAAATAATCAAAAGCCTCAAAATTTTAAAATAAAAGACCACAATCTCGGCGAAATACAAATTCAAAAACCAAACCACCACCTTAAAATAGAAAAAGGAGGAGAAACTTCTGGAAGTTGCCCATTTCCGCCACCCTTGAATGGCGTTGTCGTTGCTAGTTAGAGGTTGTAAAGTTGTTTCTAATAACATAATCTTGTTGGATGTGCTCTTCAATTAGGTTGAGGATTCTTAAGCGTTATATTAATCGGAAGCAGAGAGTTATCTGTTCATGGAGATCTATGGGTATTGTTAAAGAATGGCTTGGATTTGAAGAAGAGGTGGAAGAAAGAGGAGACGATTGATAAATGAAAGAGAAGAGGATGACAACAATAGAGAAGGAGAAGGGGGAGACGACTGACAATGGAAGAAGGAGAAGAGGTGAACAAGAGAAAAATGGGTTGGATTGGAAAATGAGGAGGGCATAGTTGTCAATAAATTTAATTTTAATAGTCATAAAATTTGTGGTTTCTTGATAATGGTCCACTTTCATCGGTCAAAGTAAGGAGCCCAGTTATATCATTTTTTTATGGAAATTGGTTCCACATAGAATTAGGTTATACCATACCAAACGAACTAAATTCTCACTTTTCTCCTTCAATCCAGTTTCAATTCCATGTTACCAAACAATCCATTAAGATTGATATTAATAATGGAATGTATCTTTCTTTCTTTTTATTTTTGACCAGCAATAATGGAATGTATCTTAAAAATAAAATTTTATTTATTTTTTAATTCAGTAGATGAGGTAGGTTACACTACACAGCACAGGCACAGACATTCACAGCCACGTTCGCCCGCCATTTGTTAAGTTGTTGCTCATAGTCGCATGGTCGCGCGGTCTATCAGTGCTTCCCCCGGCTCGGAAGAACAAAAACAAAACAAGAAAATTCCGAAACCCCTCCTCTCCTTCTTCGCCTTCCCCTCGCAGATCACCTCAAAATACTCCTCTCACACGTATTTATAATACCCCTATTTCAAATTCTTCCACACCACACTAAGACCCCTTTCATCTCGATTTCCAATTACCTCCAGCTTCGCTAGACAGCCTCTTCTCACTCACTATTCGCAAACAACCATGCCTGCGCCTGCTCTTTTCTTGATTTTCATTCTCGTCAATGCCCTCCATTGTTATGAAGCGACTTTGCTCCGTGTGAGTATACTCCCCTTCCACAGACCCCTTTGGTTCTTCGATCTCGCTTTTTTTTTTTTTTTTTTTGTTTTGGGGTCATGTTTCTGAATACTACTTTCGATTTCCTTGTCCTTAGGAGGAAAATGGTTCGGCCGTGGCAGTGATGAAGCGCGATCAGGTTTCTCCGATGGTACCCGTGACGGAGGTCGGCAAGATGGAGGTGTTTATGCTGATGAATGAGAGCAGGAGGAAGTTGGGAAGCTTCCAGATATGTGCACTTTGTACCTGTTGCGGTGGAACTAAAGGGGTTTGCTTGCCCTCTCCGTGTTGCTATGCCATCAATTGCAACATACCCAACAGACCCTTCGGCTTCTGTTCGTTCACGCCCAAGACCTGTAATTGCTTTGGATGCCATCTCTAATTCTCTCTCCCTTGCTTCTTTATTATAATTTACAGTTGAAATTGTTTAGCTCGAGGATTCTCCCAATTCTGTCCCAAGTGTGAATGATATGAATACCTGTTCTTGATTTGTTCTTTTTCATTATTACTTGGGGATCATTATATCCGGGTATTCTTTCTTACCCTTCCCCTATTTTACCATTTCTTTCTGGGATCCGTAGTGCCTGGAGGTGGACCATTGTCAGAATGGATATATCATATATGATAGTGTGAACTACTTGTGGAATCAGGAAATATTGTTCGTTTCAGTGGAGATACTGGGGTTCATGATAACATCTCGCTTTTGGGTGTGTAAAATAACGCTAATGCCCAGTGCGCTTGTCGTTGGTCTAGGATTAGGAACTGACTTTTGCCAATTATTCTCATTAAGAATAAAGACTTGTGACCCCCCACCCCTCCTCTTTTGCTTCTGAGCTGTTCTGTCCAGATTGTAGTATCACGGGATTTTTAATTGAATAATAGATGGTGATTTCTGGTATATAACTGAGGCTTTGCTTCGGCCATACCTTCTGGTCATCCCGCGGTTTGGGCTCACCTTCCCCAATACCAAGCATTTGTTTTCTCATGCATCCAAGGAGTCTCTTGCTTAGATTAGATTCTCTTACCAAATAATTGAAAAGGGAAAGAAAAAAAAAGAAAGGGGGGGGGGTTGTGGCAGTCATGCGCGGAATGATGAGGGAGCGGGAAGTTGTTAGTTATTAGCAGAACAAACTGTTGGGGGTGTAGCATTTAGCTGCTCAAAGGATGGAAGGAATGAACACTCGGAGGGGCAGCCGTGGCAAGGGTGTAGTGTGAAATGTAAAAGGATGCAAGGATTGATGGAAGAGAGGGATGATTGGGTAATTTGGATGAGAAGCCCCGTGTGTTGGGTGTGGGGTGGGTTTTAATTGTCGGCGGATAAGATGGATGCGCAAGATATTAATGCACGTGGGTGCAGCCAACGGTATGTATTAAGGTGAGTAGTTGGCTGGGTAGGAATAGGTCAATTAAACTTCGGCGACGAACCTGCCGTGCTGCTGCTGCTGCATATGGCTATATTTATTCAACATTTGGTCTTTGTATTTTAAGTGGTACTTGGACTTAAAATGGTACTGGTAGCATGAAATTTGATCATGTATAAAAAGCTGGCTGGCTGGCTTCTTTGGTTGGTGCCTTGAGAAGAGTGTTTTTCTGACCTACATTCGGCGAGGCATCAGATCATGTGCTGTCTCCTAACCGAAGGGTAGAGTTTTGTTGTTCTTGTTTCAATTTTTCAGGAGCTCTCTTATTATTCGCGTATTGTTACGGCTAGTTCGTGTTCGTGCTGCACTCCATATCATTCGTGGATGGATCTATATGCTTTGGAGAAAGCTGCTGCCGGTGACTGCATTTATCATTGTATGAATTGAATGAAGTAACCAGGTGTTCTGTTTTGATTATAAAGAGTGAAGAACTGGGAGGCTCATGCGCATGCCCCTCTTTACTTAATCAAGTATTGTAATGTTAAATTAAACAAACAGTCTTTCCTTAATGCTCTTTGTAGCAAAGCTGTGGAATTTTTGAACTCAAGGTTTACCTAAATTTCCGTCACCTCTCCATTGCGGGGGAGCGAGTGTCAACTGTGAGTCTGTAATTCAACTTTAATGGCTTCCGTCGCCTCATGATGGATGGTGCAGGTGATGATTAACACGATTGGAATCAACTGCTTTGAAAAGAGCGTCCGTCAATCGGTCATGGACCAATCTAAAATTTGTAATTCAACCTGTTTCAATCTAGTCACTTTTTAAATCCTAAGTTCTCAAGAACCTGTAGTTGACGAGTATAGGAAAAGGAAGACTAATCACTACTGGCCTAAGGGAGAATAAGTATCCGTATTTGTTATAAAACGTCTTTAAAAAAATATGGAGTAATGTAGCCCATTATATTTCAAAATTGGTAAAATTTTACCTTTTTAATCACTTTTTTCCCTTGGAGGAACTTTTCTTTATCTCTTTGGTTTATAGAGTCATTGTTTTTCACTTTCTTCGTCTCCCCCCCCCCCTCAACGAAAAAAAAAAACGAAGAAAAAAGAAAAGTTTCTTTGTCTGCACCAACAACTAAATTAACATCTTATATAATAATAAAATACGTTGTCAAATGACTGACATTTATTTTTTAAAAAAATTATATATTAATATTTATTTGTTTAGTTTTTATATATGGAAAGATCATGGGGGACGTGTGCTAAATAAATCTTGTATACTTGCAGAGTATATCAAATTCATCATCCACAGTTAGTTCAACAGAAATTTGACAATTAGTTTTTTTAAAATAGAATATGTTATTTATAGGGCTTAGTAAATTCTAAATTAGAATATGTTATTTTTTAAATTTTAATTTATGCAGATATAACACATAAATTTTAAAATTAAAAATTATAAGAAAGAACAGGTTTTAATTTTATTATTTTTTTGGGTAATGATACGTTATCTTTAATTATAAGATAGAACAAGCATTAATTGTTTTCTTTTTTTGAAAAATGAACAAGCATTAATTTTAATTTATGCGGGAATAATACATTATTGAAAAAAATTGATGTTTATATTTGTTACATGCACAGGAAAACAAATTATTTTAATAATTTGCATGGGAATGAAACAAGTTGTTGTTTATGTTTTTAATTTTAATGCGCATGGGAAGGGGTAGACATTTATTATTTATTTTTAATTTTAATATATAAAATTAATATTTCTAATGAGCATGAGATAGAAAATCTATTATTCATTTTTAATATATAAAAGTAGAAATACGACTTAAAAGCCTACAAGAAGTATTATAGTGATTATATACTTTTGAATTAATTATATAATATTAAGGAACTTATTTTTTATCGCACACCTTATAAACTTCTTCTAATCATTGTTTTCCTTGACATAGGTATCCATATGCTTGATGAAGAGTGCTATAATATCCATATGGATTATGTTATTTGCTTAATTTAAGATCAAGATCTACAGTAAATTGACATTTTTTTAAAGAATTACATAATAATATTTATTTGCATGGCTTTTATATATGGAAAGATTGTGTGGACCTGCGCCAAATAAATCTTATATACCTGCAAAGTATATCAAATTCATCTACAATTAGATCAACAGTAATTTGACATTTTTTTAAATTATCTATTAATATTTATATGTTTTAGTTTTTATATATGGAAAGATTATATGGCACACACCCAAAATAAAATGTATGAAACATACAGTAAAAAATTAGGTGGTGATATATATAAGATCTATAGTAAAAATGATAGGTATGAGACATGTAATAACATTGCAAATGTAATTTAGATAAAATGTAAAAAGAAAATAATTATGCAACCCACTGATTTTTTTTCCTGCAATTTAATTTACATAAAATACCATATTTTAAATAAAATAATTTGTTGCTTGCATTTTCTATATGCATGAGATGATAAATTATAGAGTAGAATATAAAGCCAAATAAAAAATTATAAAATAATCTATTGTTTGTATTTTTATATGTATAAGATAAAAAATATTAATTTTAATTTACATTGGAGAACACACATTTTAGAATAATAAATATAAAATCACACATTATTATATTTTTTATATAAGGGATAATAACTTTTAGATATTCTTTCAGTATGCATGTGATGTATTATTTGTGTTTTTAATGTACGCGGGCAAAAAAATTAAAAATAGAATAAGTTGTTGTATATATTGTTAATACGTACAAGGCTTAGTAACTTCTAAATTAGAATATGTTATTTTTTAAATTTTAATTTATGCATATATAATACATAAATTTTAAAATTAAAAATTGTAAGATAGAACATGCTTTAATTTGATTTTTTTTTTGTGTAATAATATATTAGCTTTAATTATAAGATAGGACAAGCATTAATATTTGGGAGAATTTCTTCAAGATCTCATTTAATGCAATTAATTACTCCTAAGTCTATTGACAATTGAGTTTAAGTGAATGACAATTAATTTTTGAAACAATTGTATTATCATTTTTCTAAGCTCAGTTGTGACTAAACCTAGAAGTAATTGATTAGGTTGAATGAAACTCATATATAACTCTCCTTTAATTTTTTTTAGTAAACGAGCAAGCATTAATTTTAATTTAGGTGGAAATAATACATTCTTGGAAAAAAAAAAATTGGTCTTTATATTTGTTACATGCGCAGGATAACAAATTATAAAATAATTTGTATGAGAATGAAACAAGTTATTGTTTCTATTTTTAATATATAAAAGCAGAAATACGACTTGAAAGCTAAAAAGAATTATTATAGTAACTATATACTTTTAAATTAATTATATAATGTTGATAAATTTATTTTCTACTGAGCACCTTATAAACTTCCCCTAATCATTATTTTTCTTCTCATAGATATACATATGCTTGATAAATAGTGCTACAATATCGACATGGATTATACTATTTATTTAATTTAAAATCATCATTTCATGCAAAATATTTTTTTATCTATTTTTCCCTTTGACGATAATCGTAATTTATAAATAATATTATGAAAAAATAATTGTATATGGTTCTTTAAGGACAAAAAAATTATAGTATATAATTTATTATAATACATGTTTCATTTGAAAAAATTGTTTATATAATTTATTTAATTTGTAGAAAGGGAACATATCGCAAAATAAAAATTATCATTTGGATTTTAATTTATACAAGAATAATGTATTTTTAAATAAAATAATTTATTATTTATATTTTTAATATGTGTGAAAAAAGTTTTAAATAGAATAAGTTTTGATTACATAAAATAAGAAACTTTACATAAACTAAACTAAATTATTTTTTTTTAAATTTTTATATTTCTATTTCATTTTTATCTTTTAAATTTTTAAAATATCTCGGGTGTCGCACGTTTAATAAATATAGTTGTTTACTTAAAATAAAAAAGGACATTTTAAAAGATCATGAATCATATTGCTTCATAATTTTCTTCAAGGGTTGGTCAAAAAAAGAATTTTCTTCCAGGTGCCCTAGCTCCTATATAAATATTTTTGTGATATAAATGTACTTTAAGTGTTTATGTTATATATTGTAATTGTTTTCATTTCTATATTTTAAACTATAAAATATTTTGTAACTTTTTAAAGTTATATTTTTTACTCATTATCTTTACCCACCTTATTTTTTTAATTTTATTGGAAATCAATTTCTTATTTAAAATAATAAGTGTGTGTATATATATATATATATATATTAAAATTTACTAATTCAATCACTAACCGTTTAACACATTGTTCTAGGACTGAAGTGACGATCAGTGCAGATTAGAGAACAACACTGGAGGGCTAGTCAAAATAAAAATTAGAAGGCGTTGGAAGATGCGAGTGAAGTGTGAGAGGCCCAAAGATGCAGGTGGACTAAGTATTAGAGAAACAAGGCTCAGGAGCAAGCATTTGAGGATACATGGATCACAATTTCAGCGGCCCGGTTAATCCACCCCGCCCAGGTACTTTCCCGTGATTCTGTGTCTAGATCATCTGGAGAACCCTTATAATCGAAGGATTTATCATTCCTCTCAACTCGGCTTAAAACCGGTTGATACTATCGCCTAACTCTTCTTGCAGCCTCTTCAATTTTCTATCATGTCTTGGTGCACGATTGAGTCAGATCCCGGTATGCTACCGGCCCCTCGCTTTTTGATGCTTCTGTATGACCTCAAAATTCATTGCTTAATCGCGCCAAACCTGTTCATAATTTGTTTGTTCCTTTATTTCCCCCCTCCGTGACAAACCTTCACTTCTAAGGGCGTACTGATCTTCTTTTTTCTTCAAAATTTTTTATTAATTGCATAAACCCGCTCTTAGCCATTGGCCTTCCTCCTTTTATTGATCGCCTCGGCAGATATTGTTTGAATTTTGGACTCATCGATGTCCAATATGACAAGAACCATTCAACCTGTTAGACGAGGTCAATTAATGATTTTGTCCCGGACATACAGCTCCATTATACGTTCCTTCACTAAGTTGTGTTGAATTATAGTTCAATCAGGGATTGACAATCGAACCCCTGAGCTTGGTAGCACATCAACAACCCTTCCACCTTAAAGCTCCATCTGTTAGATGGAGGGCCACAAATATCTAAGGCAGGGATTGCCAGAAATTCAATTAGTTTCATGAGTTACTAGGCTTCAACATGAATGGAGATATCATTCCATTCATCTCTCTGTTTGAATATATCTTAGAGATAGTTCTAAGGATGTCTATATCCTGCTCGTAATTCTCTAACATTTCAAGTGCTTTTCTTTTCCTCCAACTTATAAAATTTTCTGGGTTTCCTTCATATCCAGGCGTATTTACAGAACTCATACAACAAATGCAAGTGAAAGGAGTACAGGTAATACACCTGGGTGGGGTATATGTTTTCTTGGTTTGCTCAAGTGCAACATTATTATATCCTGGTCTCACTATTGTGGTGATATATATATATATATACACATATATATATTTTTGCCGTGAGGACTTGTTTTCTTTTTTTCTTTTCACGGATAAAATTCTGTGTAGCATCTGTTATTTGGTTAAAAATTATATACTTTAATCTTCTTGATATGCTCAATGAATGCTAAGTTTGGTCACTTAGCACTTTTAGGGTTAGCACATGCTTAACATGGATGTCAACTCTAACTAATAGCTTGGTCACCCATAGAATATCCTAAAAAATGCTGGCACATGATGGTTTTATTTTAACTTAGCAGGTTGAAGAGCTGTATTCGTTGGATCTTGATTCTCTCAACAGTCTTTGGTTTGTGGACTATCTCTCAGCTTCTTTCCAACCTATAATGAATTCCCAACCCCAAGTTGTAATGATATATTTGTGAACATGTGCATATTTTCCTCTGGCTTATTCCTTCAATTTCAGGCCTGTATATGGGTTGATTTTTCTTTTCAAATGGCGTCCAGGGGAGAAGGATGAACGTGTTGTAATTAAAGATCCGAACCCTAACTTGTTTTTTGCTAGCCAGGTCAGCTTTCTTGGTATAAATATTAATTCATAATTATTTTTGTGATTCTACCGATCTAAATTATACATTTGTAGGTAATCAACAATGCTTGTGCGACCCAAGCAATATTGTCTATTCTCATGAATTCACCATGCATTGAAATTGGGCCAGAGTTGACAAAATTGAAAGAATTTGCCAGAAACTTTCCTCCAGAACTCAAAGGTTTGGCAATCAATAATAGTGAAGCTATACGGACAGCCCATAATAGCTTTGCAAGGCCAGAACCTTTTGTACCTGAAGAGCAGAAGATTGCTGGCAAAGATGATGACGTTTACCATTTTATAAGCTATCTACCTGTTGATGGGATATTGTATGAACTAGATGGATTAAAGGAGGGTCCTATTAGCCTTGGTCAATGCTCTAGTGGGCAAGGAGATGTGGATTGGCTGAAGATGGTGCAACCTGTGATCCAGGAACGTATTGATAGATATGCCCAAAGTGAGATAAGATTCAATCTCATGGCAATCATCAAGAACAGGAAAGAAATTTATACAGCTGAGCTCAAGGAGCTCCAGAAGAGAAGGGAGCGTGTCTTGCAGCAGCTGGCTTTATCAAAGTCAGAGAGACTGGTGGATAATAGCCATATTGAGGCGCTGAACAGCACTCTCTCTGAAGTGAATGCTGGTATCGAAGCTGCTACTGAAAAGATCTTGATGGAGGAAGAAAAATTCAAAAAATGGAGAACAGAAAATATCCGTAGGAAACACAATTACATACCCTTTCTTTTTAACTTTCTGAAAATCCTTGCTGAGAAAAAACAGTTGAAGCCCCTCATTGAGAAGGCCAGGCAGAAAAGAAGCAGCCCTTAGCGAAGAACGATTGGGAGCTGCTCTTTTTGGGACGACTGTATGTGCCATCTTGCAGTTGGTTATCACTGTATTAGCTGCCTTCTCAGTAATGCAATTTAAACGAGCACCACCGATTCTTTCCTGCCTTGCTATTGTTTGACAATCTCGAGGACTTAATTTGTAATTTTTGTCATTGACATCGGATATTGCCATCTTTTCGCACCTGATCTTTATCAATGATCTGTTCATGCTGCCTTCTAACATTTGGTCACTTAACAGCGCCGACCAATAATGTCTCGTTATCCTTGTTTGATGTTATCTTAGTATCAAACGGGAGTGACTGAATGAGATTAGTCTAAGGCAGAAAGGTGACAGGAACCTGCACCCGTTACTTAAATGTGCTCTTCAACAATTCCATTCCCTGAATGCATGTGATTTATACTCCTTAATTTCAAGTGAAGGGAGACAGAAATAGAGATATTATATGTTAAAGGGGTACGTGGGTGCAGTAGCAAAACATTTTCTAAAATGAAACAGCTTTCTTTGAGAAATCTAAAGTGGTCCAACCGTTTACTTCCTTTTTCCCTTGATGAAGGAATATTCACTTGATGCCTATACTAATTTATGGCTTCAGAAATTGCGGTCATAAAAATTTGAGACAAGATATGGCCATTGATTTCTTCCTCGTCATTCTAGGGTCTGGTAGAAAACTAGAAACGTGTCCTTTAAACCCATCTTTTATTTATATTTTTCACTACACAGCATGCGTGTTTTATTATAAACATGGAGATGATGATATTTGATTGACTCCAACATAAAGAGGCAAACAACTACGAAGCTCAGTCGTAGGAAGACTCAAACAAACAAAGCACAAGACATCGACTCCCAGAAAAGATAAAAGCAAGGAACAGGAGAAAAGAATAAAAGACTCAACTGGGCGTCTGAATTTCATTTCCGAACCCCTCAGTTGATCTATTGGAAACAATGAAAGCTGCAGGTGATTTGGTTACAGCAGCCAAAATATCAGCGTAAGCAACCACGCCAACTAGAACATCGTCGCTCTCATCCTCGGTCACCCACACATGAGTTGCCCTGTGAGATAGCATCTGAGCCAAGACAGCAGCCAGTGAACTAGTAATTTTGCAAGTCAAAGGTGCACTTCTTCCTCTATACATGCTCCTATTGGCTCCGGCACAAGGGTTTGCAGGATTACTGAAGAAACCAACATTCCTGCTACTGAATTTCCTTGGTCTTCTTGAACTACCACCATTAACTACATTATCATCACCAGCCGTCGAATTTACACACAACTCAGGCGCTGATCTTGGTGAAACATTGTCCTCAACTCCCATAACAAACTGCTCAGCTGTGAGATTGGATAGAGCCCAAGCTGCGGCTAAGTAATCACATTTCCATAATTTACATGCAGAAATCTCTCCAATGATCTTATGCTGACCGTCTTGTGTGCTTTCTACCACCGCTACTGCACTTGGATCTTCAGGAAGCTTTCGAGTCACTTCAATCGCTGGACTTGAGGATTCAATAAAATTATAGTTTGCATTAATTGCTGCAAGAGCAGCTACAGAGGTGAGAGGAAGTGGAGCCAGAGCTCCAAGGCAACCAATGATAAAGCGAAGGACATCTTCTCTAGAGAGACAGCAGAATTTGTCACGAATATAACTGTGGGAAGACGAGGAACCCCAATTCTTGTTTGCAGGTAAATTGTTGCTGCTGCTGTTAGGAGTTTCAGTATTTTTGAGCCACTTGCCATTGTAGAGAATTGAGAATCGCTTACTCATGCCTTTCCATGCTATACTCTTTGGAACAAGCAGACGTCTTACCCCTTGCTTCATCATATCCAGTGCATCTATCAACCTAAGGAAAGCAAGGAACAATACATTAACTTCCGTCTTTCCACCTTACGCATAATAAGAAAATTTCAAAGATGAGAAACTGGATAGCGGACAGAGGCATTTAAAAAATTTCAATTTTCAATCTGAAATCCGCCCGCCATTTGATAAATATTCCCAAAGCAAAAGGAAAAAAAAATCCTTCACTATTCTTCCAAAGGGACGAACATTAGCCACTCACCCAAGGTCTTTATTTAGGATTATATGTGAAAGTTCCAGACTCTATAGGGTTGAGACTTGACAGTCTAAATCAACACACAAGTGAAGAGAGTCAAGATGAACATGAAGATACTGGCTGTATAAGCATCTTTTTACGAATACATGCCTAAAGTTACCTTTTCAAATAATATAAAAGAAATTGATCCTAAAGAGAATGGAAAGGGGAAGGTTGTTCAACATACATCCTTACAGAATCTTACACTGGGTTGCAAAAGGATTATTTCCTCAAATTCCAAATCTCCGGGTAAGTTGCACGATTTAATCATATTTTGAACAATACCACTGTTTTCAAAGACTATTGCCAAGATTAAGCTGACAGCTCCAATGTTCAAATGTCAACTTGAAATACTGTCCAAGGCACAAGTGAATTATACTTTTCAACAACGAAAACAAAATAGTTCACCAATTTAATATTTCACGTGACTAATTTTGTTAAATTAAGACTGAAAATGCAAAAAATAGTTAAATAGTAACCAAGCAGGTCTTGAATGACACAATTTAAATTTTAATTATAAGAGGACAGGCCAATCCATCTAAAAATTCCTTGCACAGAATTTCTGCAGAAGAGGCTTATAAGTTCCTTGCACAGGTGAAAATGACACCAAAAAAAATGCATAACAATCTTCGCTTAAAAATATAAGGTATTTTTAATTGAATCTCATTCCTTAATAAAGTAATTACTTATTTTTAAACTCATTTTATTTTTCCATACCCTTATTTAATAAAGTGTTTCACCCTAAAAAAATATAAAGTGATCTACTCCCTCTAATCTTATTTATAAATTATTTCTACTAACCTCATCAATATCAATACAATAAAAGTACAAAAAATAAAATTTAATAAAATTACAAATATAACCCTCAAAAAGTAAATAAATTATATAATATTATCTTTCTGTCTCTTTCTCTTACTTTTTAAGAATAGTTTAGACATTTTATTTGAATCAAAACATCACTATCAATTTAATTATTCATAAAATAGACCACTTCACCATTTTAAAAGGTGATTAATAAAGTGAAACGAAGGGAATATTCAATAAACACATTTTTTTTAAAAAATACTGATTATATTTTAAAAGATGTCTTATATTTTTTAAGATTCAACTCTTTAAAAAATATCTTACATTTTTTAAAGAGAGAATATACAAAACAAACCCACACATTTTCAATTTCTCCTTCTATTCCCATGCAAGTAAATTGCGCGTCTTATGCGCTTGCAAAGTATTACGGATATGTGCTGGCAAATGGAAACATACAAACATCGTCTAAAAGGGCTTCCTGGTCCATTAAAGCAGCTATTTTTTTTTTTTAAGTGTTATCATCACAGCTAGAATTAACATAACTCACTATTCTCTTATAGACTGATAAAATTCAACAGTATTCTGGTACGTGCAATAATATCAAAGCAATAATTATCCAAAAATAATAAAAAAAAGTAAGAAATGCAGCCGCCGCAATGATATGAACAAGTTTAGTTTGTTGGAAAACCTTGTTGCAGGATCGACCAGCCTCAAGAGTGAATTGTTTCGAACGACAACCTCAGAAACAGGGGCGTTCAAGGCCTTATCCCGATCCTCGAAACACTGGCTCTTTGCCAAGAATGCAACTATATCTAAGGAATTGAGGATGCCGACAAATCTCTGCTGCTTCATTTCACTATTCTCGATGATGGCCAAGTGTGATCTCTTTTTCCAGACGGGTATACTGCCCTCTGGCGAATCTACTATAGCCCGAATTGCCGACTCCACGGTCTCCGTCTCAGGGAATTCCACCAGCTCCGGCTTTCCCACGGTCAGATCCCCCACCACGTGGTACAGGAACACCGATGCCATTCAAATCCTTCCTCCTTTTTTTTCCCCTATCAACAAACCGAAAGAAGAAACATATCAAATTCGGGCCATTACGACAGATTTAGAAAAATCCAGTGACGCAGGAGAACTAGAAATGAGAAAGGCAAATAGAAAGGAGTTGTTTTCATTTTGTTGTTATGGCTGATGGAAAAGAAAAGGCGAGCCTCACCTGTTGTAAATCGGATCGGACGAGATATATGATTTTCCGGAAGGACGGGAAGCGGAAAGGAAGATTTAATGAAAGAAAAACACAGAGAGGAGAAGGATGGGTAAGAGTTATAAGAGGGAATGGAGAAAGATGAGAAGAAGATGAAGGCCGGTGATAGGTAATCTGTAAAGGATCAAAAGAAAAGGGGCAGATAGCAAAGGGATGGAGCGAGCCATGGAGGAAGAGAAAGGGAAAGGCCCATGAAAGATGACGATATGGGGGCGTGCCTACTGAGACCCGGTCAGCTACAAGATCGGCGGTGGAAGAAGGCTAAAGATTGATTGAATTATGGAACCACACGCCCTTGCGTCCATATATATACATCAATTTCTGTCATGCCATGTGCTCCTCCGGCTCGCGGATTACAACTTTCTGGACTCTCCTTCCGATCCCTCATCTCACGCTCCTCTTGCCATAAGCCTCCATCGGTGGACTCATATCATTTCATATTCCTTTTTTTTTTTTTGGGCAAAATTAAAAAACTATCATTTGCAGCTAATTTACGGCGACTAATTGCGGATACGGCCCATTCATTGCAATCACAACTGTTTTAAATTCCTTATCAGCCAAACACGGTGAGTCTGGCTTGCACAATATTGTGAATCAGTAGCCACGTCACTGTCATTACCTCAATCATACAATGTCTCTGATAGTTATCAGCGCCTGCCTTGAATTTATTACTTATTCCAAGTCATGCGTGAACATATCAAACAAGATATTTTGCTTAATTAAGGGCGCGTATGGTTTAAGTTAAATTGTGCCACCGCAGAGAGAGAATAGGCGAGAGTGGAAAGGACGCAGGAAGCGCATCTCCAAGGCCAATTGCCTAGGTTTCGTTCCATGGCCCCCTCCTCCGCCCTGCAGCAGCTGCTGCTGCTGCTGCTGCTGCTGGCGTATCCGGCCAAGCCCTGCGTCTGCCTCGACATCCACCCTCAAGACAAATCCACTCTCCTGCTCCTCCGCTCCGGCCTCCATGACCCCTCCGGTTCCCTCTCCTCCTGGCTCCCTTCCAATCCTAACTGCTCCTCCTGGTCCGGACTCTCCTGCCACCCCTTCTCCCGCCGCGTCATCTCCCTCAACCTCTCCTCCCTCCGCCTCTCCGGCCCCCTCCCCCCTCCCCTCTGCCTGCTCCCTTCTCTCTCCTCTCTCGATCTCTCTCACAACCTCTTCCGCGGCCCCCTCCCTTCCTGCCTCGGCAACTCCTCCTCTCCCCTCCACTCCCTCCATCTCGGCTTCAACTCCCTTCTCGGCCCTCTTCCTCCCTCCCTCCTTCTCCTCCCCTCCCTCCGCTTTTTGCATCTCCAGCAAAATTTTCTCTCCGGCTCCCTCCCCGATTTTCCCCAGCCTTTGTGCTCTCTCAATCTTGCTTCCAATCTCTTTTCTGGAACTTTGCCCTGCTTCTCTTCTTCTGTTGCCTCTCTCTCCTTCTTAAATTTATCCCACAATTCCATTGTGGGTGGCCTTCCTTCTTGCATTGCTTCCTTGCAAGCTCTGACTCGTCTCGACTTATCCTTTAACCGCTTGACCTTCAAACTTTCCCCCCGGCTTATGTTCTCCCAGAAGCTCCTCCTTTTGGACTTGAGCCACAATGACTTCTCCGGTCCTATTCCCGGTAAACTCGCAGACACCACTGATAAATTGGGCCTCTTTCTTCTTGACCTCTCCCACAATCAGTTCTCTGGTGAAATTCCGCTGAAAATTACGGAATTGAAAAGCTTGCAGGCTTTGTTCCTTTCCCACAATCATCTTTCTGGGAAAATTCCTGCTAGAATTGGAAATTTGACTTACCTTCAAGTCATTGATCTCTCGCACAACTCTTTGTCCGGTACCATTCCGTTGAATATTGTTGGGTGCTTTCAGCTGCTTGCCTTAATTCTTAACAACAACAACCTCTCTGGTGCAATTCAACCCGAATTTGATGCATTGGATAGCTTGAAGATATTGGATATAAGTAACAACGGGTTTTCCGGTGAGATTCCACTCACTTTGGCGGGCTGTAAATCTCTCGAGATTGTAGATTTTAGTTCCAACTACCTGTCTGGATCCTTGAATGATGCGATAACCAAATGGACGAACCTCAGGTATCTTTCTCTGGCTCGGAATAAATTCAGTGGAAATCTGCCCAGTTGGTTGTTCACTTTCGAAGAAGTAGAAATGTTGGATATCTCGGGCAACAAATTTTCAGGCTTCATCCCTGATGTTAATTTTAAGGGTGGCTTGTTGTTTAACAAGAGAGGCATCCGCGTTAGGGAGCCATTGCGTGCAGCAAGCGATGTGCAGCTGACAATTTCAGTTGCCGTTGCTGATAGCAATCAATCCAGCTTTAAATATATCCTCTCCTCAGTAGTGGGGATTGATCTATCCCGCAATTTGCTTCGCGGAGAGATTCCAAAGGGTTTGTTTGAACTAGCTGCCTTAGAATATCTGAATTTGTCGCACAACTTTCTTGATGGACAAGTCCCAAGTTTGCAGAAAATGCAGAGTTTAAGAGCCTTGGATTTGTCACATAATTCCCTGTCTGGTCAGATTCCAGGAAATATTTCCAGCCTTCAAGATCTGACCCTCTTGAATTTTTCGTATAACTGTTTTTCTGGGTATGTCCCCCAGAAGCAGGGGTATGGGAAGTTTCCTGGGGCATTTGCTGGAAATCCAGATTTATGCCTGGAATCATCCAGCGGAAGATGTGATAGAACAAGAAATGCATCAATCAAAGGGAAATCTTTTAAGGAGGATATGATGGATGGACCAATATCTGTGGGGGTTTTCTTTATAAGCGCCTTTGTTAGTTTCGATTTTGGTGTTGTTGCTCTCTTCTGTTCAGCTCGAGCAAGAAATTACATCCTCCAGACCAAAGCTTGATGCAATGCCCGTCACTCACGATGACACATTGTCACCTGTAATTTCTCTTTTTCTTTTTCCTGTTTTATTTGGTCTTAGTTTTCTCTCTTAAAATTGAAGAAATTATCATTGAACTCACAGGTGGCTTTCTATCTTCTAAACCAGTCTTCATCATCGCCCAACCACTGAATCTATAGGAGGCGTTATCTCCTTCCATGGTCCAAGTTACTTCACGCTATTCTCTGGACGCCAGCCGTAACAGTTACTGATCTCCTTAATAAGATGATGAATTGAAGCGGAAGTGGTGGCAATTTGATGTGAGAAATACTTTCTAGTTCTAATATACAGTGTCATATCAGAATGATCAGAGATCTTGACTCTATTCAGAAACAAAATTGGATTGTTAATAGCGAAGTCCTTATGTATGATGCATCAGAGTTCGCTGCTACTTGCTAATATTAGACAGAATGATAAGAGATTTTGGATCCGTACAGTAACCGACCTTTTTACCCACCAAAAAAATTTCCTCTGTACTCAGCGTTGTTCTTGTCATCATTACATAACTCGAAATGATATTTTCAACTTTATGGTTTCCAGCAACCGGTTTTCAAAACATTGAAAAAACAAAATAATGCAATCCCAGAATCGCTGCTCAGAATACAACGAGCATGTCCTCTCGTAATCATTTTCCCTCAGCCTCTCAATCCAAGCCCTTCAATCATATCCACCAAAATAATTTAATTTTAAAAAATAATTTTTTCTTTAAATTTTTTTCCCATAATAACGGTTTAAATTGATTTTTTTTATTTTTAAAACTTATTTTAAAAAATTACTTTATAAATTTTTTTCACACAATTTTTTGTTAAATAAGTTAAGTTAGAGTTTGAATAAACTACACAATAATTCCTTACAAGTTGGGCTTAGCCCACTTCTTTATCAAAAAAAAAAAATCCTTACAAGTTTAAATAAAAATTTCTTTAAAAAATCTACAACAGTAAGCTAGAGTGTAAATTCTTACAAGCATACTTCATATATTTTTTTTTTAAAACACAAATAGACGCAGTCTCATATGAATTTACGGTCTGACTTGTTATAATAGTTTTTTAGAATAAATTTTGAAAATAAAAAAAATCAATTTAAATCATTATCATAAAAAATACATTTGAAGTGGTAAAATAAAATGTAAAAAAATGATTTTTTAAAATTAAATCATTTTAATATGAAATGATGTGAATAAAAGGTTAGGATTGAGATGTTCAGGTAAAATGATTATGAAAGGGTCCGGTCCGGATTTTGTACAGGGTACTATTGTCGGCTATATAAGGTACTTTGGATGGAGCCGGACGTTCGATCTGTTCACTCGGTGCATCCAACGAAGAAGAAAATCCAAACTTATGATTCATGAAGCACATCTATCAAACTCCTATCTATGAATCTTTACAACGCCAGTACATCGGAGACCTATGCAGTTTAGTATAGCAATACGCTAAAAAGAATTATATCAATACGTTGAAACGAGATGTTCCTTCTAACCTACCTTTTTCTCCCCGATGCACCAAATTTAGACTAGAGTCCATCAGCGTCAAGTGCTTCGTGTAATGAACCTTCCTGGGTTAGAGTCAACTAGTTATTGTTAGTTATATAACAGCCCGACCTCCAGGCACCAATCCAACATGTTAACCGGGTGCCCGAATTCAATACGTTGAATGAAGTTAAATAATCGCGCATCAAAAAGGCTGTCAATGCTTGCTCATCCCCACCATCCGCTGAGAACTAAATCTGTCGCATGCGCTATCATCGCTATCCGGACGCTCCATTTCGATATTACTGACGTTCTATATTCTCCATTTTACCACAATTAGTCCTGTTCTAATATCTGATGGGACCGTCCAGGCTTCCAGATGCAAACTGCCACCTCGCAAGGGAAAAAGATGAGACTAATGTACGAACGAAAAGAAATGGTAATAAAACGAGGTTTAACTTGCTCCTAAATTCCAATAATCTGACTCAAGAGAAAAGGTAGCTTTTCATGCCGTTCCTTGGTGAATTAAACTTCCAAAATACAACTACTTAAAAAGACCCCGTCTATTGTTATTTATGCCAACACACACAATAAAAAATAAAATAGGAAAAATATCAATTAAGAACTGTTGAAGGAAATTCATATCAATATCAATCATTTGTTATTAAAACTCAAATAAATATTTGTTAATTCGACTTAGCTTTTATCAACAAATATCTATTAGGATTTTAACAACAATTTATTTTAAATTAACAACAGTCCATCTCGGTGTTTTCCATTCTGGTTTTTACAACTAATCCTTAACTAATATAAATTTCTTCCTATGGTTCTTGATTGCTATTTTCCCTAAAAAAATGAAAAAAAAAACTAACCTGTTGGACAATTGGATTTGTTGATGTAGTAAATTCATCCGTCATTCCTTCCCAAACAATCTTACCCTTGTGTAAAAATAATAACCTATATATTCATGCAGTGACTTCTCAGGAATAGGGTGCATCAAGACCAGGCTGAGCAAGAGACAATCCAAGCAGAAGACCTGCAACCAATATGAAAATAGCCTTTTACCTGTCAATAGCTCTTTTAATAGTACTATGTTGGTGGGTGACGACTACATAAGATGCAATCTTCCCAGGTTTTCCAAGAGCATCACGTCCTTTTATGTGAACAGAGCGGATCAAATCCTCAACTACAGTAGAAGCTATGGGATCCAGACCAGCGGTTGGTTCATCATACAAGAGAACCTGTACAGTAGTGCAAAAAAGTAATCTACCAAGGGAAGATGACTCTGTTAATTAAAAATAAACACTGGCTAAATTTATAATATATAATAATCAACAAGAGAAGCAACAGTAACTAGGAGACTCAGTATCTTGATTTGTCATTGTAGACAAAATTGATATTCTTCATTCCAAAACTAACAGCAAGAACCACAGGCAGTAGAAAGAAATTAATTGGGACGAGGGAGGGAGGGAAAGAAGAGAAGGGAATTACATGGAATTAATATCCAAATCATCTAATGCAGTAAAAGCACACATCTTTTTAGCCTAAACAACAAACTCAGGAATACAGTTCGTTGAATTCCTGTTCCAATTGTTAAAAAAATTTAGGAAACAGGCTTATCAATTTTTTATAAATGAAAAAAAAAAAAACTTTCCAATGAAATTCATGTTATTAGGATTAAATTTGTTCCCAGGTGCACATGCCTTCTCAATTGTCTTTCAAAGAAAAGGCCAATGACCTCTACTCGAACAAGCACACCACATGTCCATTTAAGCTTCTTTCAATGATTGATGTCATTGGTATTACTTCTCATCCAGATGGAGACATACCACTATCATCTTCAAGTGTCACGTTGTTTCATCCAAGTGAAAACAAGTCTCACACTTCAACAGCCTCCATAAAACATCCTCTCTTGTGAATCTTGGGAACTCCATTTTGCAAATCTTGTAGGGGTTTAATTGTCATGCTGCCTGTTCCTCTTCCTTCCCCCATTGCCTTTTTCTTGCACCCTCAAAGCGCTGGCAACCTGGTATGATAGGCACTCCATTAATTCCTAAAATTCTGCTATGTGACGCTCCATGTCGGTGATCCTCTTATCAACCCCCAGTATGCAACTTTGCTCTATGGAATGAACACACTCTTCCATGTTGGAGGCTTGGGATTGCATTCATGTCATGGTGATCTGAGGAAAGATGACTACGATGCCACTGATAAATCAAGGTTTTCTTTTTTTTTTTTTTGGGGGGGGGGGGTTTTGGCAGATAGAGACAGGAGATGAGAGAGGAGAGGATTGACACATGCAAGAGAGAGAACTGAAAATTCACTTAATTGCCAAAAGTCAGCCAACGCCCATTTATAGCCATTGCCCCTCTAATCTTTATAACCTCCTTAGCTAACGTTTTCATGGATGTGCACACTCAACAATCGCTCTTCATATGTCATGCTTAAACTAATGGTACATATTATATGCTAGAACGGTCAGCGAAAATGGAGACAAAAGGATGACTTCTTGCTGCAAAAGAATGGAGTGGTTAAAATTGTTCAAATATGTAAGGGAAAACCCACCTTAGAGAAAAGTTGACAACTTTTTGGTTGAAGTGGGAGGGCATATGTCTCTCCAAAGCCAGATTCAGTGTCGTGTCTTGTCTATGTTCATGTTGTGCTGGTGAGCAGATGATAAGGTGTTCTGAGTTGGCTTACAGCAACTCATGAGATATATTACAGGTATGCAATAAACTTATTCACTCTTGTCTATTTCCTCTTCAACGTTTCCTCTGCTATTTCGTGATCCATTGTATTGTTAGTGCTATGACTGTTGTACTGTCATTGGGTGTTGTATTCTACTTGTTATTGTAATCAGCGTCAAACTTGTCCACGGTGATCTATGGAGTATTTACGCCAGTTTGGAGTGCTGTACTATTTCGTCTTAATAAAAGTAATTATGTTTCATTTTCCATACCAGTAGCCTCTTGTATTCCCCTATCTAGGGCTAATATTAGACTTTAAGGTCATGTTTGGTAATTCTTTAAGGCCCAATTCCTATTAGTTATGATTCTATTGCCACATATGGTCCACTTGGTTTGTCTTTTCTAGTCTGAATGCTGATTCCCATGGAAAACCTGTTAATACCTTTCATGGAATAAGCACTCCTCAAAACCTATCAATGCCCATTTCCAGTTGTCTAACAACTATACCCTATTCTCTCCTCTCTCTTCCACATACCTTTTGATTTTGACTTCCTCAGTTTCATCAGTTCCCCCTTCCACGATCAGTCACGCCACCATCATCCTTGTCCCCATCTCCACCTCCAACCTCATTATGCGCCAGCATCCACTTCTTCAGCATGTCCATATTGGTTTTGAATGCCAGATCTGCTTCTTTGGAGTTTCAACACCCCTGATCTGCTTCTCCAGTGTTTAAATGTAGCCATCATTGAGCTACTTCCATGTTCGATCTGCTTGCCCATTTGAACATAAACTTGATCTCAACTCCCTTGCTAGTCCAACACACCACCAATGATGATGGTGAACAAGGAAGATGAAGCCAACAAATTTCAACTTGAAGTTGCGTGTTTTCAAGGAAGAATGCAATGTCATCTTCATGGTCTGCAACACCGGCTAAGTTCCAGATATTCAACACAACTCTCAATGATTGCTCAAGGAAGAAAACGATTTCGCTGAATGTGTCTTTCGATTTTGCTGGTTTGATTTGTCAGACCTAGATTGAACTTTATTTTGTTTGTGCATCTGATTTTGTAATTGTGCTTGCTTCATTCTTATTTGCTTCTGATCCTATGAGACCAGCAGTGATGAGGATGAAAGCACTAGTGAGGAAGAAAGGAGATGACAGTAGGAGGAGTGGGGACAATATTTTTCTGGAGTGAGGCATTTTTGTATTTCTACTTTTATTTCTATTTAATTAAAAATAAAAAATGAACTCTTCCTAATATCATACCAAACATGTTCACAACAATCATCCTTTCATTCCATTCTATTCTCATCCTTTCTATAAACCAAACTGACCCTAAGGTGAACAAAATTTTAGCAGTCAACGTACCTCTGGTTCTATCGAATCATTTGTAGTGTCATAAATAATGGACCGAGCTAAGGCAACTCGTTTTTTCATCCCACCAGACAACTCTGAAGGCAGCCGATCCTCGACACCCTGTTAAAAAACAGCTGAGAATTTAGTCTATATGCTAGAGACAAAATGGCAATGCACCAATGGTCAAAGAAAACTAAAGGAATATGAATTAAGTAGTCTAGCAACATTTCTTAAAACCCTTTTAATTTTCAGAAATTGTAATTTTCTCAACCCTGCTACTTGACAATGCAAAGATCACATAATGGTTGCAACAAGTATTAACAAGTATAATTTGACATGTTCAGATGGGAAAAAAAGATCCATCTATAGTCAGGAAGAAAATTGAAACATGAAGTTTACCTTTAATCCAACAGCTGCCAAGCTTTCCTTGACAAGCTCTGAAATTTGATCATCAGACATCCTTGAGTGTTCATACCTGGTCAATTAACAAAGCTGATGCTATTAAATAAAACATGTGCAACACAGCAAAATCAATTAATTTTAAGTTTTTGTCACCCCCAGCATAACAATTTTATAGAGTAAGAAAGAACAAAGGCAATATTAGGACTGCATCTTACAAGAGAAAACCAACATTTTCACGTACAGTCAAGGAATCAAAAAGAGCTGCACTTTGGAACACCTACAGACAAATAAAACCACAATGTAAAAGCAATAGCAATGAAGAACAAGCATAGTGCATATAACTCTAAAACTTACTAATCCAATCCGAACACCAGATATCTCTTCATCGCTTATCAAACCAGCCCTCTTTTTACCTCGAATGTAAACCTCTCCCTTCTCATTTAACAGAGATAATAAACAACACATAAAATTAGAATTCAATTGAAAAACAATTTTGTTTACATCAATGCCATTAACCCAATCTGAATGTAACTGCAGATTTACCTTGTCTGGAGCAAGCAATCCTGCAATAATCTTCAAAACAGTAGATTTGCCAGTCCCAGAGGGGCCAATTATTCCAACAGCTTCACCATGTCTGATCTATTCATAATGCAAGAGAAGAAATGAAGTAAAAATATTCAGCAAGCTCCCAAAAGCACATATTGAAATCAATAAGACCTCCATTCCTAACATAACAGAATAGCAGTCACACTGATTATCACACCTTGGCATTTTTTTCCCCTCTTATTTCATACAAGCATGCGGCAGAATCCATAAATTAAAAAAGAGAAAATCAATGAAAGGATAGTTACCTTGAAGCTCACACCATTTAGGATTTTCTTTTCCCCAAAAGACTTGTAGACTTCCTTGCACTCAATAAGAACATCAGAATCATCCTCATGATCCCGTATTGTGTTTAAGTGTTCTGATTTAGAAGAACCCTACAATATACTTGTTATCAGCTAATAAAAAAAAAAACAGAGAACAAATTGTAAATCTCTCATAAACCAGAGATATTGACTTCCCAAGCTATGACACAATAAATAATAAAGGAAAACGAGTGATCTTCAAAACAGAGAAGCAAGTGGATGCATTACAGGATAACTTCCGGTAACACTTGCACCGGGAAGCAAATAGCTCAAGTTGGGTAAACTGATAGACAATCTTGCGAAGCATACACCAAAAAACAGCAAACAGGGCATGAACAAATGGTAATAATGAGCAGGTAAATTTGAGGATTGCAGGGCGCAAAGCAAAAGAATAGTTATTACATACAGACGGCAATGCTAGGCAGCTAGCATTAACTAAACGATAACGACGGCACCCACTAGTAGGGGAAACAGGCTCGCAAGAAGCGGTCAAAAGAACAACGAAACAGGCATCGAAATAAAATTTGAGAGAAGAGCCATCTATAAAACTTCGCTTTTGGAAACAAAATACTACAGAATTACATTAAATTTAATCGCCGACGACTCGTCACTCGTCAAGTTTCGCGGAGAAGACACACAGGCACAGACAGCTTTCCTATGCTCGTTTCTTTGCCTAAAACAGAACGAATTGATCTCCCTTGCATCTGCAGCCGCAAATTTAGAAGATCGATAGACGCCGTGTTGTGTGGACGGGGGAAACAAAGAAACGCTTAATAGGGAAAGCATTTTGCCCGGGAGCAATTGGTTTCTTTATTGGAGAATTAGGGATCCTGGGTTAAATAGAACAGAACCAGAAAAGGCAAAAGCCTTGCGAAATTGCTGAGATGTATTGGAAATGAAACTGAGTGATATGAAAGCAAGCAGGGAGGGATTTGTGGGCAGAAAAGCCCTTGAGCAAAAGGAAGTAATTCAGGGGTACACAAATCGATTTGCAGGAAATAAAAATCTCAATCGAACAAAGGATCGCATAATGGTCAATGGGAAATGTTGAAGCCACGTTCCGAGACGCAGGCACGCGGATTAATGTCGGGCAAAATAAGAAGAGCCGAGTAGAAATGCCGCGGGGGTGCTGGAAGCTAAGAAGGGAATTGATCTGCGAATTAATTACTTCCGTCTTAAGTATTTTAATAATACCATCCTCCAATGCCCAGATATGCCTCCAGCATCTTCGATGAATAATTCTGGCTTTATGAGATAAACAGTAAAATAAATTATCCAAATGTTCCGCTGTAAAAAATATTTACTCAGATATTATATTAAGAATCATTCAGACTGGAAATAAGTTTGTATTTGTAAAAAAACTCATTTTTAATGAAATCATTAAAAATTTTGCAATCAGACTTTTTTTTTAGTGAAATCATTTTCTTAGCGAATGAGTTAACATTTTTTTAATTGACAAGATATAATATTCCTTATTTTATTTTTTAATCAACTTTCTTCACCAAAAGTTGAGTTGCCTCATTTATAAATTACTCAAAATAGAACAAGCAAGCAATATGGTGATTACTTGTCTGCCTAACCACCAAATAAAAATGAAAATAAATGGGAACAAAAGCCTCAAAATTTTAGTCGACCTCATTACATGCCGAAATATTTGAATTGTTCATATCTTTATTTAATGATTTCACACTAATTGAATAGTTGAAAAGTACAAGTGTTGTATTCAGCCAAAAATAGTACAGAATCATCAAATAAAGACATAAACGATTCAAATTGAGTAAGAGTAGGTGAGATGAAAGGGGATGATGATAAAGATAACATGTAATGAGACTTGAATTGAGTAGAATTTAGAGAGATAAAAAGGGATGATAATAATAATGAGGTTAGCATGTAATGAGATCAATTAAAATCTTGAACCTATTAATCCCTTGCATTTTCATTTTCAATTGGTAGCTGGATAGACAAGTAGCTACCATGTCGCTTGATCTATCCATCTCGAAGAATATTTGGATAAGGCAACTCAACTCTTAATGGAACAGGCTGGAGAAAGTACAATAGAAAATATTATATCAGTTAGAAAAAGCTAAACTCATTTACTAAGTGAACGATTTCACTTTTCATTAAAAAATAATAATTTCTAACTTTAAAGTTATTCTTGGCCTGAATAAATTCTTTACAAATATAAACTTGTTCCTGATTTGAATGATTTTTGGTAGAGTGTTTGGCTAAATACTTTTCATGGTACAACATTTAGGTAATTTTTTTATTATTATAGCATATAGGTTAAAAAAGGCATGTCCAATCCCAATACTTTATCAGTTTTACACTTCTTCTCGACCTTGCCATCTAGTATGATCCGAATTTTCTCATATTTTTTAGGGGTGTAAACCAACTTGGTAACCCGACAAGCAATAATTGTCCAATCCCAATACTCTACCAGTTTTACACTTTTTCTTGACCTTGCCATCTGTTATGATCCGAATTTTCTCATTTTTTTTAAGGGTATGCAACCAACTTGGTAACCCGACGAGCTTAGTCTCCTAGGTTAGTCTCAATGACCAAGTCGGGCTAGATCTTGGGTAGAGTCGAGAATAAGGGTCGGGCTTGACGGGCTACCCATTTAAGCCCTTTTTAATAAGGGTTTGGGCTTGAAAATTTGATATTTTTTAGGTAACCGGGCTTCGAAGCCCGGCCCTTTTAAGCCCTAAAAAAAGGGGCTCGGGCCCGGGCGGCCTGTAAAGCCCGTTTTATTTTTTTTAGCTTCCATATTATAGTTGGATTGGGTTTGAGAATTGAGTTTGAAAGTCCAAAAGAAACCCTACAACGCAGGCAGGGTTTGAGCAGTCAATAATGCTCCACGCCTCCACCACACAGGCACACCGCATGCAGTAGACCAGCTCCAGCAGTCTCTCACTCTCAAAATTGTCTCAGCCTCTCCGCCCTCTCGACTCTCGTCTCATCTCAGACTCTCAGGCTCTCACTCTCAGCTCCTCCTATCGTCTCTCAGCCTCTCAATCTCAGTTCTCGAGCTCCTCTGTACCATAGTTCGCAGTCAGTGTCATTTCCCGACTCAAGTCTCAGTCTCAAGCTCGTCTCCGACTCTCTGTCGTAGTCACAGTCTCGGCGCTCGCCTCTCAATATTAGTCTCAGTCTCAAGCTCGTCTCCGTCGCAGTCACAGTCTCACCGATCGCCTCTCAGTCTCGAGCTCGTCTCTGCAACAATCAGTCACAGTCTCAAAATCGTCTCTGCCGCAATCTGCCGTAGTCCTCAATCACAGTCTCACCTCTCGCCTCTCAGTCTCAGTCTCAGAGTCTCGAGCTCGTTGGTGCCTCACAATCTTAGTCTCGAGCTCGTTCTGTCGTGGTCTCCTCTCCCTCTCGCCTCTCAATTTCAGTCAACTCAGCCTCACAGTTACAGTCTCGCTGTGGTCTCCTCCTCCTCTCACCTTTTAGGTTTGCCTCCTTTATCTTGATCTGCTTCTGGTTATTTAGTATTGGTTACTGCTCTGATTGTCTTTCGATCTAGTGATTGCTGATTCCTAGTTTTTGATTATTTCTGGTCTCGATTTTGATTGTTGATTCCTGATTTTTGATCCTCTGCCTCCTCTATCTTGATATGCTTTGAATGCTGTTAGTTTATTTTTAATTTTGATTATATGATTTTATTCCTGATCCTGATAAATTAGGCCTTAATATTGTTCTGTTATTTTATTATTAGTTTTAATTGTATGTTTTATGCTTGTTTGCAATATGTCATCATCTAGTGCCAAAAGTAATGAAACTAGTAAGAAGTTAGTTGAGGAGGAAAGTAATAGAGAATCAACTCCTACCCAATTTACTACATTCAATAAGAAACCACCTAAGAAAGCTAAAAGTTGTACTTCAGATGTTTGGAAGTCCTTTTCTAAAGTGGTTAATGAAGAGGGAGCAACAAAAGCAAAGTGTAATGGTTGTGGCACTTTGTTAGCAAGTGGTGGAAATCATGGCACTTCACATCTAAGTCGACATGTTAAACAGTGTGTGGCTCTTCTAAAGTTTCATAATATAGGTTTAATGATGTTAGATAATGAAGGGAATGTTAGGCCTAGACAAATCAATAATACACGTATTCGGGAGTTGTTGGGGATGTTGATTGTTGAACATGATTTGCCATATTCCTTTGTTGAATTTCCTCTTTTAAGACAGCTACTTAAGGAATGTAATCCTGATGTTAAGATTATGAGTAGGAAAACTGCTGTGTCAGATGTTAGGAGATTTTATGAGCTCCAGAAAGAGAAGTTGAAAGTGATTTTATCAAAGAGTCCTAGCAAAATTTATTTGACTTCTGATTGTTGGACTGCTGTAATATCTGAAGGTTATATTTGCTTGACAGCTCATTTTGTGGATGAAAATTGGAAACTTAATAGTAGAATACTTTCTTTTTGTAAGATGGAACCTCCACATTCTGGACATGAATTAGCTAGCAAAGTTTTTGGGAGCTTGTGTGAGTGGGGGATTGAAAAGAAAGTTTTTACAATTACTTTAAACAATGCATCTGCAAATGATTGTATGGCTGAAATCTTGAAAGAGAGGTTGGTTTTGCAAAATAACTTAATTTGTGATGGGGAATTTTTTCATGTGAGGTGTTGTGCACATATTTTGAACTTGATAGTTCAAGAAGGTTTGAAGGTAACAAATGTTGCGATAAATAAAATTCAAGAAAGCATTAAGTATGTTAAGATGTCAGAGTCCAGGATGAAGACTTTCAAGCAATGCATTCAGCAAGTTGGTGGCATTGACACCTCAATAGGATTGCGATTAGATGTGCCTACTAGCTGGAATTCCACCTATTATATGCTTGATAGTGGAATTAGATATAAAAGAGCTTTTGTTTGTATGTCTTGTCGTGACACTAGTTTTAAACACTGCCTGTCGAATGAAGAATGGAGGAGAGCAGAGGAAATGTGCACTTTCTTACAGCCATTTGCAATCATTACAACTTTAATTTCTGGCACATCCTATCCTACCTCAAATATGTATTTTGGGCAAATATCAAAAATTGAGATTTTGTTGAATGAAGCCACTGGCAATCATGATCCTGTGATTTCTAGTATGGCGATTAAAATGAAGGAGAAATTTGACAAGTATTGGAGTGACTATAGTGTAATCCTTTCTATTGGAAGTGTTTTTGATCCACGAGCAAAGCTTGAAGTGATTAAGTATTTTTACTCACTGATTGATCCTGTAAATTACTTCATGAAAGTTAATAATATCAAGCAGAAGTTGTATTGTATGTTTGATCAATATAAAGAAATGGGTGGATCTTCCATTAATTTTACACTAAGTTCAACTCCAACACAAAGTCAACTAAGCTCAAGCACTAATGGAAGGATGTTAGAGAAGAAGAGGGAACCAACCATGTCTTGGACTCAAACTTATGGTGTAAGTTTTTATCTCATTGTTGTTAGTTTATAAATTGTAATTTCTTATTTGATACATTTGGATTTTTTTTTATTTGGAAGAAGCTTTCCTTGATGGTCACTAGTTTCCAGAGTTAGATGTGTTGCATTGGTGGAAGACTAATCAACAATGATTTCCTAATCTTTCGAGGATAGCATGTGATATTCTGAGTATTCCGATCACTATAGTAGCTAGTGAATCGGCATTTAGTATTGGCTCCCGTATTCTCACAAAGTATCGTTGCCGCCTCCTTTCGGATAATGTGCAAGCATTGATTTGTGCCCGCAATTGGTTGAATGGTTTTGTGCCATTTTATGGTAATTTTTATATTTTATCTTGTGATATATGTATAGATATATATTTGATAATGACACAATTTAATTGTTAATTATTGCAGGTGATGATGAAGAAGAAGCTGCAGAGATAATTGATATTGAGCCTCTACCTCCATCTTCCATGAGTGGACCTACATCTGAGGGTTCCAATATTTTATTTCTGGATGATGATGAGGGGGATCTTGATTAGGATTGATGATAATGTTTGTCTTCATCTTATTTAGACTTTTAAATTTTTTATTTATTTTTTAGATTATGTGAGACTTTGGTTGGATGTATGTTGAATTTTAAAATATTTTAAGTAAATTTTAATGTTAAATTTTATTTTATTTTATTTCTATCAGGGCTTATGGGCCCGGCCTTGAGCCCTTTAAATAAGGGCGGGCT